TTAAAATCTTATTTTTTTTTTATTTTTATGATAGTTTCAACCTTAGAACATATACTAACTAATATTTCACTTTCAATAATACTCGTTTCTATTTTAATTAAAATTTATTTGAAAATCTTTTTTGTAGATGAAAACATAAAACTTTCTAATTCATCAGAAAAGTGCATTTTCATAACTTTTTTATGTATAACAGGATTATTAGCTACTCATTGGATTTCGTCGGGCCATTTCCCACTAAGTGATTTATCGGAATCTTTGCTTTTTCTTTCCTGGAGTTTTGCTCTTATTAATAGCCTTTCCTATTTAAAAAAAAATACAAAATTATTAAGTACAATAATAAGCCCAATCAATTTTTGTATCCAGGCTTTTGCTACTTCGGGTCTTTTCACAGAAATTAAAAAATCTTCAATATTAGTCCCCGCTCTTCAATCTGAGTGGTTAATAATGCACGTAAGTATGATGATAGTGGGTTACGCAGCTCTTATATGTGGCTCCTTATTATCAGTAGCACTTATGGTCATTACCTTTAGAAAAAATGAAAATATTTTTAAAATGAATTATATTTTTTCGGCTAAAAATTTTTATAAGATTCAATTAAGTAAAGAATTGGATTATTGGAGTTATCGAGTTATTAGTTTAGGGTTTATCTTTTTAACCATAGGAATACTTTCGGGGGCTTTGTGGGCGAACCAAGCGTGGGGATCTTATTGGAGTTGGGATCCTAAAGAGACTTGGGCTTTTATTACTTGGATAGTGTTTTCAATTTATCTACATACTCGAAGAAATAGAACTTTCGAAGGTGCTACTTCGGCAATTGTGGCATCTATAGGTTTTCTTCTTATTTGGATATGTTATTTTGGAGTCAATTTAATTGGATTAGGTCTACATACTTATGGTTCATTTTCGCGAACATAAAAAAAGACATTAATTTTTTACTTCGTGAAAAGCTAAAAATTTGTGAAACCCGTGCTCTCAAATAAAAATATTTCCTATTTGAGAGCACGGGTGTTCAATAAAAATAGAATGAATTCAAATATACTTTTCTGGACCAGATCAATAAGCGAGACCCATACTGCGAGTTGTTTCATGCCATAAATAAACTCGAACACTCAAGAAATCTGTTGGGCAGGCGGATTCACATCTTTTACAGCCTACACAGTCTTCTGTTCTCGGAGCAGAAGCAATTTGTTTAGCCTTACATCCGTCCCATGGTATCATTTCTAAAACATCGGTGGGGCAGGCTCGGACACATTGAGTACATCCTATACATGTATCATAAATCTTTACAGAATGTGCCATTGGACGAATAAATTTATAAACTTTATGAATTATCGATATAGTATCCTCCAAATATTATTTTTATCCAATATAAAATTATAAGATACTTGGTTTTTAGATACTATATGACTCAATGAATTCTCAGAAGGATTCTAATCAATAGATTTCTGGATTGGTTTTGAAAATAAAAAAAAATTATTTTATGTTTTAATATTATCATTTTTTTATAACTACGCAAACTACCTACAAACTACCTAATAGGGTAAATAAGGATTCTTTTTTTAATTAACTCAATCTATTGTTTTAAAGTTTTAAATAAATACTCCCTTCAAATTTATACAGTAAGAATCAATAGACAAAAGGACATGATGTCTTTCTATTCACTACCCCAAGCTATTCTTTTTTAATTGTTTCAGTAACCATATTGTTGTTCTAAATTTACCTCTATAATAGGTTTGAAAAGCTATGCAACTTCAAAATGAATGAGTTTTTGTCTCTCTAATCTCCAATTTATCAATTAATTCTTTATAGCGGAATTTATTTTTTTTTGATAAATAAGCTAAAAGTCGTTGTCGTTTCCCCAAAATTTTACGTAAACCTTTTTGAGATAAATAGTCTTTTTTGTGCAATTTCAAGTGGGAAGTAAGCCGGTGTATTCTATTGGTGAAATTCCATACTTGAAATTCAACGGAACCTCTGTTTTGTAAGTTTTTTATCATAAACTAAATGAACTCCCTTCATTGATATATAATATGCATTTAAAATAATTTTTTATAATTAAGTTCTAGATTCATTTCATAGATATGAAATAATTGATTAGTAACTAAAACGAACGAACAAAAAATAAAGAAAAAAAGGATAATATTATTTACTTTTATTCTATATTATAGAATAAATCAACTTGACAGAAATGAGTCCAATGTTTTCTTATTTTTTTTGTAAAAAAAAACTTTGAAACTTACCCGTTAAAAGAGATTTTGCTAATGAAAGAGCTTTTAATCTTACCTCAATAGTCTTTCTTTTCCAAATGTTCTTACGAATACGCTTTTTGGCTTTCGAAATACGTTTTTTTGGAACTGCCATTTCAAATGATTTACAGGTTATCACTGGATGTGAAAGACATTTATTGCTAAAAAGGAATTCTTCTAACTAAGTCTATCAATTCAAATCAAAAGAAAACCCTTTCTTTTAGGGTTCATTAATAAAATCAAAGTGAATTTTTTCAACTTAATATTCTTTTAATGAGGTACAATATATCTATATAGATCTAGATAGATATATGGTATCCTCAATTCAGTTAGATCCAAATTAAAATGAGGTATAAAATAGGGTATGTGTCCATATTGGTTTTCATCTAACCTGCTACCATCTACCCTGCTACAGGGTAGATAGTACTACTATCAATTAAATTTCCACCAATTTAAATTCAATGGTAAATACATATGGATCCTTAACATACTGAAACGACTCCCATTATTAGTATAAAACCAATAACGATTCATACAAGCTAAATCTTCCAATCGATAATTAGGCCAAAGAAAAAATTCAATTAATTTATTTTGATCCTTAGGCCCAGGGTTGCTTTCTTCCCAAACTTTATTTTTGTTGGAAACTAGAGAATTTGCATCCACGCCATTCCATTTGTGTGAATTGAAACAAATTAGAGTTCTTAATTCTCTACGACGCCTAGATGATAAAATATTTTCAATAAGAAGCGGATCACAATTATTGTTCTCTCGAGCGCGAATTATTCTTTGTTTTACGTCTTCTTTATTAAGAATTTGTTTACTCTTATGAACCAACGAAATAACTATCGTTTCATACATAAGAAATTCTCCATTTGGTTTGATAGACAGCGGAAGGGGGTCGACCAAAAATCCCGTCTTTTTTAAAAATTCTGGAACACTCTCTTTTGAATCTGGAACACTCTCTTTTGAATCTGGAACATTTCTTTTTGAATCTGGAACACTCTCTTTCTGATCCATCTGTGGCATTAGACCCAAATTTAACTTTTCCCTTAGAATCCATGATAGCATCATTTTTTTTCGATTTATCATTCTAAGCAAGAGACAATAGATTTGGAGATCTTGGAAAAGGCCTTGATTTAAAGTAAAATCCTCTCTAAATTGAAAAAATAAATAGTTTTTCATGAATAACTCTAGTTCTATCTCAGTTTGACTTTTCTTTTCACCTTCAGTTTCACCTTCAGTTTCGCCTTTGGTTTCACCTTCAGGTTTACCTTTGGTTTCACCTTCAGGTTTACCTTTGGTTTCACCTTCAGGTTTACCTTTGGTTTCACCCTGAGTTTCACCTTTGGTTTGACCCTCAGGTTCACTTTTGGTTTGACCCTCGGCTTTATCTTTTTTTTTACTCTCAGTTTTATCTTTTTTATCTTTCTGAGTTTTACCGGTCTTTTGACTTGTCATTTCATTAAGATTCAAATTTGAAATAAGTGATTCGCTTGGTATAATCCATGGTTTCAGTTTATATAAATTAACAAACCACACAAATTCTGGGAAAACCAAAAGTTCCTCAGCCGTTAATGGACGGTCGAGTATTTCTTCATTCAGTCCCATCCAATCCAATAAAGAATTTCTAGAATGGAGTCGATTCATTTCGGTATTTTTCTGAATCAAAAGAGCAAAAGGATCTTTTTCGTTTTTAAAAATTTGCTCAATTTTCAAAATTTCTTCCATTTTATCAATTAATTGATAATTGTAAGTGAAAATTGGAGTATTTTGAGTATTGTTATAATTACCCGTGATCCAGGACTCAATATTCGCTTTTTTTTTAAGAGAAAAATCAATATTTTTCCAATTCAAATATTTTCTATCGACATCTTTTTTTGGATATGGAATATTTAACCTTTCTATTTTTCCTCTGAAACTAGTGATAGGAATATTTTTCGTTATCGCAAACAAGTTGTTTTGTGACATCTTGTAATGATAAGAAATTGCTTCCCGTTTAGCTCCTGGAGGGGTTCCACTATTTTTTTCATACTGAATGTATTGATATGCTAAAAGATCATATCGATAGCATTTTTTTAAATTATCTTTTGTTTTTTTATTCAAGACTGAGTTAGCATCCTTTTGTTTCCTGTAAGTATTTAATTTTAATTTTTTACCGGAAGTCCTTTTGTCTAAATATTTTTGTTTAGACCTACGATAGCGATTCGCCCTATTTCTCCATTTTTGTTTTTGTGATCTTAAGGCAGACCAGAAATTAGGAGATAAATCGTAGTGAGAATTCCCTTTTAACCAAAATTTCCATTGACTCGTTCTAGGCCGCTTAAGTTGTTTTTTTATTCCTTCAGATGGAAGTATTCCTTGTGTATGAAATGAGTCTTTTATTTTCTTTTTAATCAAGAAAGATGTTCCATTTTGTTGAAGAACAGATATGAAATTACGTACGTTCAAAAAACCCCTTTCTGATATTTTGTACAATACATATGCTTGTGACAAGTTGGATAAATCACCAAAACTCTCTGAATTTTCCTTATAAAGCTTATTATTATGCGTTTTTATATTTGAATTTGAAAGAGAGTTCATTTTTGTTGATTCCACAAAGACTTTTTGAGTCATTTGGCAAATAGATATAGTATATAAAAAAATACAATTAGATATTCTTTGAATAAATAATTTTATAAAATAATTAAATTTATATATTAATCTATTTTTTTTTTTTTTCAACATTTGACAAAAATTTTTTGACAAGGCTAATCTCGAACTTTTTTTGTAAGGGTTCATATCAAGTTCTAGAGTGACCCTTTTCTTATCTTCCGTAATTCTTTCTAGTTTTTTTTTAATTGTACTTGTCCTATGAGTGATAGCCTGCATTTTGTCTATCGGTGAATAATTTTTCCAATCTGTAATTTTTTCAATTTTACTCAAGGGTTGATTCATTATCTGGTTATTTATTAGATCATCTTTTTCATTTTTTATTACACTCGGGTGTATTGTTCTTGTTTCTTTTGAACTTGTGTTTTTTTTTTGAAAACTTTTTTAAAAATTTAATTTTTACTTTTACAAATTTGTAAAGTTCCTTAAAAACAGGCTTAAAAAACGAAGGTTTTTGTCGTGGATGACCAAAAGGGTGTTCTGTTTCCCTTCCCCAAACTGTTAAAAAACAAAAGTCATCACGAGAATTTAGCGATTTATATTCGTGCCAAGGTTTGAGACAGAAAGGAAATAAAATTTTGATTTGAATACCTTCTGTCAACCAATTTTCCGGAAATTTTTTGTCAGCTAACGGAATACCATTATAAGTACACTTCACATGCGTTTCTCTATTCCATCCCTTTAAATCTTCAGACCATTCAGGAGTTTGAAATAGTAGCATACGCCCGATATTTTTACCGATTATGAATGAAGGTAATAGAATCTTTTTTCTGAGAATTGATTGGGTTATTAATAAAAAACCTCTTATTATTTGGGTATATGGAAAAGTCTCCCAGGCTTCCCCTATCTCTAACCGTTCTATTTCCTCTCGTCGTTTTTTTTCCTTTTTGGTTTCTCTTTTTATTATTATTTTTTTTTCCTCTGTAGATTCTAAAATCCCAAACTCTTTTATGGATGACCATTTTCTAAAAAGCCGTTTCAGTTGAGCCAGGTATGGTAGAGAAAAAAAGGTTTTTTTCCTCATCCTGTCAAAAAAAAGAGGGGAATGCGCATTTGCTTTAAAAAGTCCCTCAATAACTATTTTACGTCTTTGAGTTCGCATAGAGTCTTTTATTAAGCCTTGGCGAAAATCAGATTGGTGCGGATATCGTAATAAAAAAAGCTTATTATCCTCATCTTCCTTTTTCTTTTTAATATTTTTATCTTTCTCATTATCGTCGGATTTTATAGCTTGAATATTTGTATCTTTTGTATTCTTATCTTTGTTTGTAGTCTTATCTTTGAGAGTCTTAGGTTCTTCAAAAATTAATACACTGATCCCTTTTCTTGAACGAATATCATGATCATCTGGTGGATTTGTAAAATACGATATTTGTTCCAATTCAGTTATTAATTTGTATGACCATCGGGGGACTTTTTTACCAATTTCTTCTTTACCTATTTTTTCTATTGCAGAAGATTTTTTATCGTCTGTCTCAATTGCATTTACTAAAAATTTTGTTAGTTGTTCTGAATCCGTTAAATTGAAACTTGATGATAAAGTTGAGAACTCACCAACTTGTAATGGTTTTTTTTCCTTTTTTTCAAAAGTAGACATCAACAATAAAGCATGAAGTCTATTTAGCATAACCTTCTCTCTCAACTTTTTGATCGAAGTATCGTTTATCGACGTGATATCTTTTTTTATTCTTCCGCGGGAAGGCCCATTTAACAAGGGATCATACTTTTCTGGTAAGTATTCTTTTCTAGTCTCATCATTGTGTATACATAATCGCGTTTTGTTTGTTTCAATTTCGATTATTGGAACTGCTACTGGTTTGTCAAGATTTTTAATTCGATTTAGCAAATCAATTTTTATAGAATTTAATTTTTGTTTGTTTCTAGAAACCCAAAAATTGTCCAATGTATTAGAAATATCTTTTTCTAGTGACAAAAGGGGTATCTTTGTTTTGATTATTTGAAAAAACGTTGATAAACTTATCGGATGGGTAAAAGATATTCTATCTTTTCCATCACTTTTATGTATGTCAAAGAAATATTGTGCCATTTCGTTTCTTACAGCTTGTTCAAGTCTATTATTTTTTATGTAACGAAATGGGCGAGTCCATCTTTTATAATCAAAAAGAAGAGCCACAATATGTTCTTTATTTTCATTTTTTTCAAGGATTTCCAATTCGGAATCAGACCCTTCCAAGTCTGGTTCATTTACCTTCAAGTCCAATTCTTTTTCCAAAATACCTTTTTCTTCG